CATTCTATTCCATTCTCTTTTTCGAATATTAACATTCTTTCTTTTATTTCGCTCTACCCTAACTTCACTTTCATCCTCAATTTCTTCTGCCTTCTCGTCCCTTTTCTACTTCCCAGTCTCCATCGCCTCTCCATCCCCCCCATCCCTATCCCGTTTCATTTACGTTTACCCGCATCCTGAGATCTTTAATGAAAAGCGCAGCTGTCTCCCCCGCAGGCCGCACACGCAGTCCACCCTCATTGTGGCTGCCTCATTACACGTCTCTCTTTCTGTTCCGTTTCGGCCACGGACAAAATAATATGTATGTGTAAGCAAGAGGATTGGGGGAAAGTTATTTAATTATCTATATTACAATACCATCTTTCGTGCTTTTCACATAGTCCATTTAAAAAAAAACTATGGGCTGATATAATCCATAATCCTTTTTTTGTCTTACTCTGAATTTATTTATTTCTATTTGGGCAATTTTATCCCTGCACCCTACTCCGTTTATTTTCTTGGTTCAATATATTATACCCTACCAAATTGTTTTAATAGGATTGTGAGTGCTGAGCAACTTTTTAAAAACAATAGTTAAATGACCGCATGCATAAATAGGCATACAGTCGGTCTAAACATGAAAATAATGTAATAAAAAGAGATACTTACTGAAGAGGCCACTTTCAATGAGTTCACGGTTGGACATCCATTTTCTCATACATAGGCCTATGATCCTTCGTTTGCTTCTTTTTTCTTATGCTAGGCTTACCAGCGGGTTAAAGTCCTTCATGATAAACGCTCAAATAATGTTTCCGCATTTATTATCTTTTTGTTTAGAAGTCTTTGACTAAATTTGACCTCAGTGATACATGATGAGTTCTCAACACAAGGCCAAAAATGGCATTACAGTTTAGGATAGACGATCTTTCAAATAATTGCATGGAATCCTTAGTAACTGGGAATTCCTTCACACTGATGTTCAGAACAAGTCAGCCAGAACGGCGTACGGTAGACATGAAATCCCACAGCCTTAGGCTTCCATGAATCGTCCGCGTCGATCTGGACGTTTGGATAGCTAATCCAGCCTCAATGCAAATCATCCCGCTGGAATCTTTTCATCTTTATCGACGTTTTCGCTTGAGAGAGACTGCAAGCCCTTGGTCAACGTCGTGGAACCAAGTCTCACATAATTCAGGTTTCGCCATAAAATGCTGGTGATAACCCTAAAGATAAAGGAATTAAAGCTTTCCTTCTTCTCAAATTATCGTTTACATTTTTGCCTCACTGCTATGGTAAACAGAAATAGAAACAGATAACACTAAACCCTCAAGTCGCTCTCAATATCACCTTCAGCTGATCAATGACAGAAAGACAAGTGAACCGAACTGCCGCGTGTTCTTCATCTTTCAGTTAAACCTCAGATTCACCGAAACCAATCCCGCTGTTGGCCAAAACAGCACTCAAAGGCCGAATTACATCTCCTAATTTTTCTTACCATCCTGGGCCAAAATTCGGCATATCTGCAGCATCTGCGCCATCGGAAGCAAGGTAAAAATGTGACAGAAGGCAATCATACTCCCAAGTCCGGCTGTAGAAGAGGGAGACCCAAATACGCAATATATACGCATTAAATGGCAACTGTGTACTGAAGAAACATTATACCATCTGTGGATTAATGGTTCTTATTCCAGTACTAGCCGAGGCCTAGGGTGCTGTCACTGGCTGCAAAATCACCTAATGAACATCCAAAATAGGCGAGTTAGGGAAATTAGGCCGAGGCTCAGCTTGGACATGAAACTGCGTATTTCCATTTGAAAGGGAATATAGAGGATTCTCCGGGCGGTTAAAGGCTGTTTCTTATTTCTAGACAAAGGCTGTGTACAGTATTGAAACATTTGCTGACACAGAAATACATGGATGTTAAAATAACTATGGGAAACATGGTTAACCATACAATGTGTGTGGGTCAATATTTAAAAAAAATCTTAACTTACACTAAACATATAATATTCTTAACATTAAATAAGGCATGTATGGATAACAAACGTACCTGGAAACGATATTCCATACATTTCGTCTTACCTGGGATACTTTTTTATTGGATTAATTAGGCATGACCTCTTTCACAATAATTACATTGTTAAGACAAAATATATGTTATCAAAATGTTGGCATTAGCATGCAGTAAACATACGTAACACTTGAAAGTATATCATAACACAAAAAATGGTTCGTCAGAAACCCTGGCAATTTAAATGCCCAGGAAGTAGAATTTAAATGCCCGCAGTCGTGTCATGCAAAGAATGAATGAGAACCAGCACTTCTCCGCCCGACTTTACACATTTCAATCTCATCTCCCGCCTCTGATCCAGGTCAGACGCAATGGAATCTATGTTCAAAACGTGCTATATGTCTTCAAAAACTAAAAACACTGCATAAATTTCCTACTAGGTACCAAATACCCTATGAAAATTAATAAAATTCTTACCTGTACGGAGTTCGGGCCACTACCTCCCGTCCG